CCAAGTCTCCACAGTGCGTCTTTTAGGTTTTCTGCTCAAAATACTGCAAAGATGGTTCATTTCATCATGACTGCACTACCCCTGCTGCTGTTAACAGCCCTTCAGAAACAACACACTCTGTGTGCGTCACGTCTGAGCTCGACCCCGGTTGGTTAGTTGGGCGTTACATCGCACCTCAGTCGAACTCGTCCTTGCTTGTAAAGCTGGGCAGCTTGAGGGAATGAACGAAGCAAAGGTTTTCATATCTTCACAGCTTCTATTTTACACATTCGGGTTTATGACGAACAGAAAACACAATGAAATGGATTTTCACCATATGGGGCCTTTAAGAGAAAAACAAACTGAAGATGTACGATTTTTAAAATCCACAAGACACCTGAGCTGCTGCCTCGAAATGTAACGCCACGAAGAAACAAAAGCACCAACTCTAACTACCCATTTTCCTAATCAAGTATTGATTTAACTCCACAGTCATTTTTCAGGCTGTGGATTAAGAAGGACCACAGTCCATCATGATCTTTACAGATCTCCTACAGATTTCTATAGATCTGTGGCTTGGCATGCATGTGAACTGCAGATTAATTGCAAAGTTTAACCATTAAAGTGTCAAAATCCAGTTTTACCGCTGCCATTACTGTTATAAGTAACAAGTGGGGCACATTTCTCACAATTTTAAGAAAGTGATTCAGATCTCTACTGAAATCTAACTGCACCTCTCCACTGTGTTTCAGTACATTCAGCCTGGTAGTTTTTCTGCAAAATCCTGCTTACAGACAAACAAACTGACCGAAAAACTCTCTAAACTTGATGCAGGGCTGCAGTGACACATTACAGAGCAGCTGTGAGTCCAATGAAGGTTAAATGTGAATGTTGACAGTGACGGTCGTGGCTGTGTTCGTCCCTCCTACCTTTTGTTTCACTGATCTAATAAATGTCTCGCTCCAAGATATAAAAGCCTCGATACAATCCGAACTGCGAGTCCTGAGATCCTTTTGCACCTCTAGCAGCTTATACATTTATATATTGGATTGCATTATATCATAAGGTATAATAAATATCTTCCCCACCTCCATGGGTTGACTCACCGCTGCTCTGACTCAGTCTATACAAACATTTTAAGCTCCACAAAGAGAGCCTATACTGAGAGGCTACTTTATCAGATTGCATTGCATTATCACATATTATCAGGCAATTATTTTGACCGTTTCATAAACAGACATCCTCTGCCGCGGTTCAAGGCGCCGCCAATGCTCCGACGTCGACTGAAAGGAGCCGTATGAAGATGTTTACAATGAGACCCACTCCACGAAGCACACTGCGGGTTAAACTGAAAAATATCATCTTGAAGAGGACCATCCGCCGCCTGTGTACGTCTACTCTGAATACCACAGCAGCTCAGCCAGCCAGGCGGGGCCGGTCGCCTTCCACTGGGTACAGCTATTGATCTGTAAGATCAGAATGAAATTATTCTGCTGCCCACACCAGAGTAGGCAGAGCCTGCTGGAATACTGATGACCTGCTGATGGCCTTCTCCCACAGCTTCCTTCACTGGACACACCGAGCGAGCAGCGAGAGGGAGAGCGAGAGCGTCTTGTTGGATCTGAGCTGGGAATATTGATCGACTATCTGGCTTTGAGATGGGCAGATAGGCCTATTTCTCCCTTCCTTCCTTTTCACACATTTCTGCTCAGCGTGGTTTAGCACATTACCTGTTTTTCTGCCTCGCTATCTGCTCTTCCTCTTCCTCTCTCCCTCCCCCCCTCCTGCTAAATACATGTGAAGTAGACCTTTTTATTAAAAGGAGCATTGTCCCCAGAAGAAGAAGAAAATAAATCCATACTCTGTTTCTTCTGCCCCTGTTGCTACCTTTCTCATCCATCTTTAACCTCACCAACTTCCTAATTTCTTATCCTTGAAAACTCCCCGATGAAGACCAGAAATGATAAAAATACAATCTATAATTGATGGATATGGGCCGAAACATCTTCAGTTCAGTTCAGGGGATTTTCCTTTTTTATGTATTATTATATATTTTTTGTTACGCAGTCGCACAAAATCCTAAATGGTGCTTTAATAATGAGTCAGGATGAGCTGCACAGGTGCTCAAATTAAAAAAAACCGGCAGCAGACTGTACAGAGGAGGCAGTGACGCTCTCCTGAGCCAAAAGCACTGCTGCTGTTGACTATTGATTGGATGTCGTGCTCTCGCTAATAAAGGATAAAGTCGGCCGTGAGCCAAAAATGGTCTTTGCATCGCAATCAGCCGGTGTAGCCAAACCTCTCAGAGGTGACGCTGCGAGTAGGAGTATGAGCGCCACAGAGATTTATGGCTTAAATGA